ATAGAAGTGAGAAGTAAAAAAAAGTAGAAGAAATTGGCCAGCTGGCGTGCATAAAAAAGGAAGGGAGGAGGCAGAGGGGGAGGAATAGAAAGAAAGGAAGAAAATGAGAATAGACAAAGGAACCTCTCATGGGAAGAAGATTGTTTTAAAAAGAGAAGGGAGGGCAGGGGGACCTCGAGGATGGAGAAGACAACTCTCTGAACCAAGAGTTTACAGGATTGGATGACTCAAGGCAGGACAGGGGTAGAAACCAAGCTCAAACTCTGCCGACAGAGCAGTGCACAGTCTTCAAGAAGGGGAGGGGGGCCTGGGGAACCACCTCACTCCATCTTACACATTTCCTGATGACATTCAATTAGTGGATCACCTCAGCAGAAGAGGCGTGAATGTGATTTCACACTGTCTCTGCAGAGGGAAGCTCCTCTGGGGCCTGGAACAGAGGGGTTAGAAAGCTCTCTCTTCTCCCCTTCCCTCCTCCTCCTCTTCGCTCATCTTTTTCCAGTTTCCTGGCACTGTCCACATGCCTTGAGCTTAGCTGAGAAGTTTGCTCTGACCTGGGCATGAACCAACATGCTCTGTGGCTGCTGGACCCAACACAAGCTTAGGATTCTCAACATGGATTTTCAACGTGAGGGTGAGATACCTGGCAGGTTTCATTGCTCACTGGACCCTGAAAGCCCTGGTCTCACTTTTGACCTATCCCCTATCCCCAAACCCATTATGTAGAACAATGCCCCACAGACCTCACCCACCTCTTATTTCCCTGCCTCTCCTCCCCCACTCCCCCACCCCACCTCCTTACTATCTCTCTTCCTCTCCCCTTCTCTCTTATGAACACACTAGATGGGATGAGAGGAAGGGACCAAGCATGTATTAAGCACCTACTCTTTGCCAGGCACTGTGGTAAACACTTTATGAATACTATTTCATTTGATTCTCAATGACCTCAGAAGGTGGGTGCTATTATTGTCCCCATTTCACAGTTGAGGAACCTGAGGTCTAGGGAGGATAAATGGCTTGTCCAGGTTCACAAAAGCATCAGAGGCAGGATTTGAATCTGCATTTCCCCCCCATTAGGAGTTGAAAATGAAGTGAGTTACCAATGAAATCACAGGTTGGACAGCACCTCAACCCTCCTTTAAAAAAAAAAAAACTCTTTGAGATGGGTGACACACTGACCCCTGCTTAGCCACTAACATGTTTGAGGCACTGTTTATCAGGACAGATAAGTTTTCATGTGGGAAGGGATTGAGAAAAGTCTGGTGCTTGGGGAAATAGCTGAGGAAGGAAGCCTGGAGTGGGAGACCACAGTGGGATATGTTATTTGGGAACCAGGCATTTGAGGTAGAAGGCACTCAGAGTAAGGGGAGAAACATCAACAAAGGAGTCAGAGAAGCTCCAGGGGGAAAAAAAGTTCTTATTTCTCACTTTTGCCCAAAGCTCACCCTGATTTCATATACTTAAGAGAATCCTCTGGTGCTGAGAGAAGGACACATACAATCATTTTAGGAATACAGATGAAAAAACAAGACCCAGAGATGCTTGGGTTATGCAAGATTATGTGAGTCAGTAACAAAGTCAGATGGAAAATCTAGATGGACTTCCTGTCTAAAACTCTAGTTACAACCCCCAGATCACAATTCCTAAGAAAAGTAATACTTGCCCATTAATTGTGCTTCTATCGTTATAGGATATGTTAACTAGTAGGATCGTGTATTTAGAGCTGGAAGATCGTGTATTTAGACCTTAGGGCTCGTCTAGTCCAACCACCCTCACTTCACAAATGAAGAGACCGAGGATCAGAGGTTAAGTGACTCGCCCAGCCAGAGTCACACAGATAGTTAAGGGGCAGAACCAGCATTCAAACTCAGGTTCTTCAATTCCAGATCTAGTCCTCTTACCACTGCGTCATTCTGCTTTGGAAGACAAGGTAAGAAGACTGCTCCCTAATAAAGCCTGGCTCTGGATATTACATGAGTTAAGTTGGCTTCCCCCACACAGTAATAACATGGAGTAATAGCCTAAGAAGATGGAATCACTGCCTGCGATAGGGATGTTGCTCTCCTTCTGTCCTTTGGGTCAGTTCTACTGCACCATTGTAATTGTCTGGGTGAATGTAGAGAAGTTGAAAGGGTCTTGGGTCAGAGGAACACAGATTTAGACCAGGAAGGGGATTTAGAGGCCATCAGGTCAAAAATGGAGCCTCAGAGAGGTAGGGTCACACAGTTAGTTAATGGCTGAAGCAGGATTTGAATTCAAATCTTCTTGACCCTAAACCCAGAACTCTTATCTACTGCACCAACTGAACTGCCTCCTTGACTTTAAGTCAGAAGATTTTGGTGTAAATGCTTGCTTCCCACTTTGACTAATTCAGGAAATTTATTGAAGAGCCTCAGTGACCTCATCCACAAAATGGAGAGAATGATTTTTGTACTTTCTATCTTACAAAGCTACTATGAGAAAAGTTCTATGTAAACTTCAAAGGGCTACATAAATATGAGTTATTATTAGAGAGGCGGCATAGCGCAGTGGTTAGAGAGTAGGCCTCACATCCAGGAATACCCAGGTTCAAGTCTCATCTCTGACACATTGGCTCTGTGGCCATGGTGGGTCAATTAACCTCAAAGTGCTCTAGGCAGTTCTTTAAGACTACATTGTAGCAAAGGCTCTCTATCAGTGTTGGTGGAAGGAGTTTCATCCCTGGGAATTCCCTTATAAGCTCCTTGAGAGTAAGGACCATCTTTTGCTTTTCTTTGTATCCCCAGTGCTTAGCATAGTGCTAGGTGGGTGTACCACTGGTGCTTAAAAATACTTACTGACTGATCGACTGTACCAGCGAAATCTCAGGTTCAATCCCTATCACTATTCCTATTATTAATTATGACTATTACCCATGCAATGCCAGGCAAGTCTCAACCTCTCTGTTTCCTCACTTGTAATAGAAGGGGGTTATGTAAAGAAATTGTGCTATGTCGTCTTTATAGGTGTATTCCACCTCCAAGTCCTGTGATCTTACGTCTGAAACTACATTGCTTGGACAAAGATCCAGGCAAAAAGCAACCTCCTTAGCCCTGGGTGACAGTGCATAACTCATAGCTTCACTCCTTCTGCCCCCATGTGGCAGGAGGGATGATGGAACAATGGCACCTGGCAGTGATGAAAATGCAAAGCAAATTCCAGAATCCTTTTTTTTTCTTTTAAATGAACCTTTCCCTTTTCTACCCTGGATTTCTCTCACAAAAGAACAATTTGGCCCGTTTGTTAAAACCATATCCTTGGAAGGGAGGAGGTAAAGGGAGGGAGGGAGGGAGGGAGAGAGAAGGAGGGAGGGAGGGAGGGAGGGAGAGAGAGACAGAGACAGAGACAGATAAGGACCTGGATAACTGAAATTAGAAGACAAAAGACCTGTCCCCTTTCTTCCAAGTGATAGCAAGAGTAGGGGGAAAATTAAGGAGAGAGCACAAGGTCATAGATTTTGAGCTAGAAGAGAACTTTGTGATTATCATGCTCCACCCTTCGTTTTTAAAGCCAAGGAAACTGAGACCCAGAAAGCTTGCCCAAGTTCATTAGTATTTATATAATGCAGCTAGGTGGCATAGTATATAGAGTGCTGGGCTTGGAGTCAGACACTTACTAGCTGTGTGACCCTAGACAAAGTCACTAAATCTCTCTCAACCTCAGTTTCTTCATCTGTAAGATGGGGATGATAATAATAACATCTATCTTATAGGATTGTAATGACTAGGGGAAGAGAATAACCATTTATATAGTGCCTACTATGTGTCAGGCACCATGCTAAGTGTGCTAAGTGCTAAGATAATATTATCTCATTTGACCCTCAAAAAAACTGTGTGAGATAGGGGCTATTATTATCCTCATTTTACATTTGAGGAAACTGAGGCAAGCAGCGGTTAAGTGACTTGCCCAGGGTCACGTAGCTAGTCAGTGTTTGAGGCTGGGTTTGATTAAGTGAGATATTTGTAAAGCACTTTGTACACCTTAAAGCACCACATATAGGTTAGTTATTGTTATAATACAGGCTTACAAAGAGTTGGACATACCTTATCTCATTTGATCACAATTCTGTTGGCATAGAGTGCAAGTATTATTCCCATTTTATACATAAGGAAACTGAGGCACACAGGGGCTAAACGATGCCCAGGGTCAGCTGTAGTAAGTGACAAAACTAAAATTCCAACTCCAGTTTTCTGACTCCAAATCCAATGCTTCTTTTTTTTTTTTAAACATAGCAGCTGATGGGTTCATTGGTTCATTCATTCAACAAACATTTCTTATCTGCCATGTACATGGTACTGTGCCAGGTATCAAGTTATAAGAGGATAAGTGTTTTTCTTGCTTTTGACCACAGTACAGGATTTAAACATAAACTTCCAACCTAAAAACTGTTTTCTTTTTTTCTAACATGATTTTGCCACCATAAGCTACTTAACAGCACTTTCTTAGGAACTAAGAAACTCAGCTTCTACTTAGAATGTGCTAAATCAATGGCAAATGGACAGATAATGAATGGAAACTCATAACAATTCTTTAAAATAGCTACATTTAGGAACTCAAAGAAAACTATCCCCAGAAAAAATAAAAGTTCTTTCCTGCTTCATTAGTAGAGTGTCCTATTACAAAAGTTGGGCAATAGTGAGATGACTAGTGCCACATTCCCCACTCATGAACTCCAAACTTATTAAAGGAAATCCAAGTTGCCTCCATTTTTTTTCCATGTTTTTTATTCATAAGTCTTTCCCATGCCCAAGCTTCTGTGGTTGCCTCTGATAAGGAGCTTAACCAAGCTTTGTCTCTGCTGCTCTGACTTGGAGGTCTTGAGTACCAGATACAATAGGCAGGTAACAGTCTTGACTTTCTTTTTCCTACTCTATTCCCAAGTAACATCTCTGTCTTTCCTTTTCATTATTAATCCTATTCTCTTTTTCCTACCTATCTTCTACCTGGTAGATAACTCCACTATACCTTAAGCTGCCTCTTACCTGTTAGTATTCTCCAGAACTTCCACCTTCTTCCTCAACTCCATGTTCTCATTTGAACAAGACTCTACCCTGCAGAAGAGAAGGGGGAAGAAAGGCAAGAACAGTCATTACAGAGAAAACCAAGCCTAGTTGTCACATCTACTAAGAAGGAAGGGTACTCACTTGTTCCTACTTGGCCAGTGAGACAGTTTGGTCAGATTCAAAAATGGGGAGGGGTGAATGAGTATATCTCTTACCAAAGCAAGAATACTGGTGGAATGCACTGAAGGCATGATATATCACAGAGCACTGAGATCTAAAGCATAAAAGAAATACACACTCTCAAAGAAACTGGAAAAAAGCATTCACATATGGCTGAGTCCCATACTTAAGAAGGGAAGACACAATGAAAGGGATAAGGCAGCCCATCATTAAACTAGTAGCACCTAAACTGGCCAATGGGAAGACTAACTTTGAAAAGTTTAAAGAAAAAAGCTATCCTGCATTTCATGGTTTTAAAAAAAAAAGATTTGATTTTTTTTTGCTTTTGCATTAGTCATTTCCTAAAATATTCCTCTCACTTAACCCTAACCTATAATATAGAAGAAAAAAAAGTTGAAGTAAAAGCAAGCAAACCAGAGACCACAGTTGACACAGTGTATTCAACATTCTGCATCTACAATTCTCCACCTTTCACAGAGGGAAGTGAACGTGTTTCATCATCTGTTCTCCAACATTGGTTATTACAATGAATCAGAATTCAATTCCTTTTCAGTGTTTTCTTCATCATGTACATTGTTCTCCTGGTTCTCCTTACTTCACTTTTCATCAGTTCATGTAAGTCATTCCACGCTTCTCTGAATTTCCTGTATTTATCATTTCTTATAGTTCAGTTAACATTACACGACATTCATAAACCACAATATATTCAGTCTTCCTCATTTTGATGGGAGCCCAACATTGTTCTCAATTTTTGTTACTGTAGAAAAGTGCTGTTTTAAGTATTTTTGCATACATGTGATCTTGAATTGAGCCGAATGGTAGGATTGCTGGGTCAAATGATATGAATAGTTTAGTGGCTTTTCTTGCATGATTGTTTTCCTAAACGTTTGGACAAAATCATAGCTCCATCAACAGTGTATTAATGTGTTTCAGGAATGCCAATTTTTAACAGGAATGCCAAGAACCAACCAGGATCAACAGAATCATTCCTATTTCTAGGAATATGTAATGGCTCCTTTCCAGGAACTGAAGCACAACCTTCAGTTTATCTAATTCGCTAAAGAACGATAGAACAAGGGACAATAGAGACTAGACGCTATCTCTTATTTTCTCTTACCTTCAATCTAACAAACATCAAAAAAAAGAGAGAACACTTACATATGCAAAGTAGAACAAGAAAAGATAATTTACATGTGAAACTGTCGATATCTGTTATGCATAATTTATTTACTCCAGCCCTGCCCCCCCTTACCACATAGATGTTACCTAATTTTCACAAGAGGAAAACACAGTAATGATATTTTACCAATGCCCACTCACCCAGAATAAGAACTTGGAGAGTAAGAACATTAAGAATGATGTTGTCACTTTATGAGCTAATCTCCAATTTCCCTGCTAGCTATAGCACCTCTAACATTCTGCGAGTCTATATGTGATGATGGTGCAGATGGGGTCAGGTAAAATAACGACCTTATGCAGCCAAAGTGAAGAATTTTTAATTTCTTTTCCAGATATGTATCATTCTGATGACATTGATGCTGTTTCTCTCCACAATTTTTGTTTGGCAATACACAGTGGCCTTCTCACACCCATTACGCAACTCTTAGTGTCCTTTCAGTGACCCTCAGCTATAATTCTTCAGAAACTACAGTATTCATGACTCACCATTATACAGCATTACCAGAATGGTGCTATTAAAAAGATGGACCCCCTTGTTTCAGGAAGAAATGAGGTCATTAAAAACACCAATTCTTTAAAGAAAAAAAAAAGATCTAACTCACTTGTTCAATTTTGGACTTACCGTATTGCCCCTACACAGCACCAATCCAAGATATAAGTACTGATAGACCAAAAGAAGATGAACCAATTATGTGAAGAGAATGAAGGCTAACTAGCTGATAGCCCATTTGTTCCTCTCCTACCCATTCCATGTCATGAGAACTAGAGGAAGGGCCCCAGCACTGAGTGGAGTGGCTATGGAGGACAGATAGCAAGATAAGAACATAAATCATACAAGGTGAGAGGGCATGGATGGTTATGATCACATTTACTGACAGAAGTACCTATATTGATGAGTTCAATAAATCAGCAAATACACATTAAGTGCCTACCATTTGACAAACACTGGGGCTTACATTCCAACTGGGGAGACCATTTATTGTCACTTTCATGACTTTTTTTTTCATGCTTGTTGGGAAGGAAGGTTTCAAGGACTTGGAGATACTTGGTTAGTAGAAGCATGAAGGGAAAACCTGACTGCATTTCTGCTTCTTGCCTGAACAGCTTTTTGCTTCCTCTCCTAACTACCACTAGGCGTCAGGCAAAGCACAGCTAACAATCCAAGAAGCTTCAAAGGTACAGCAACGTGTGACAGCATAGGGGAAGACAAACCCAAAGTGCAAGCTTCCTTTCCATCCCAATCACTGTTGGTGAGGACACCAATTGTGTCAGAGTAGACTTACTTTTTCTCTAAACTGTCCATATATTCTTTCTTCTTTCTCCTACTTTCCTGGGCAGAAATCTGAGACAGAATAAGAAAAAAAAACACAAAATATATGCATAGGTTTCAGAATCCATGACCAAATCAATACTATATGTGGGGGATGGTTATATGTCATAAGCAAGGAGATTATTCGAAGCTCTCAACTCAGTATCACACTTCAGTAGCTACTGTCTGTCTCCACTCATCCCCCTAACCCATTTCTCACACTATCATTCTTTTTCCCAGTTCTCAGGGGGATATAATAGTTAAAGTGCTTGATTTAGGAGTCAAGAAGACCTGGGTTTGGCTCCTTCTCCTGGCAGTCATTACCAAAGCATCCAGTCCAAACCCCTTAGCTTCATAGCTGAGGAAACTCAGGCTCAAATGAAATGATTTGTCCAAAGTCACACTTGCCCTAAGTAAAAGAGGTGAGATTCCAAATCAGGTCCTATGAGCTCAATGCTCTTTCCACTGTACCACTATGCTCTTGAGCCAAGATACTTTCCTATAATTTCCACCCCATTGGGTTTATACAGCTGTGTTTTATCTTAATCCTCCAAGTACCTAGTGCAGTATCTATACACAGTCGGTATTAAATAAATGATTGTGGAACCGGTCTTGCTCTGTCTTCTACAGTACCAAAATTATATCCTTTCAGACATGAAAATGCAATTATCATTTCTTTTCTTGGATTACTCTTTTCTGGGTTAAGAATGGCCAAGTTCTTAATTGTTCCTCAAATTACATGGTTTTCAGACTAACAATTATAGTTGTTTTCCTCTGCCCATTCTAGTTCATTAATGTCCCTTTTTAAATGACACATACAAAATTGTACCTGGCTCTACAGGTATGAGCTGATTAGCACAGAAGTATTTTGTCTTCTTGTGATCTGGACACTAGACTTCTGTCAATGTGGACTAAGATCATGTTAACATTTTAGGATCACTATTAGTTGATATTAAGCTTGTGGGAAACTGAAACTTCCAGATTTCTTTTCATATACATGTCAGGTCTCTTCATCCTGTATTTGTACAATTGTTTTTTTTTAGCCTAAATTTAGCCTAAATTCACATCTTTACATTATTTACGTAATTTACATTATTTCTGCTAAACCCCATCGTACTGACTTTGGCCAAGCTGTAGATATCTTTATTCTATGAATCCCGAGTTCAGAGATTATCACTATGTTACCATTTTTTTTAATTTTCACTTAAAAATTTGGTGTTTTAATAAATATTTGTTGAAAGAATGCATGGATATTTTATGTCCTTACCCAGGTCACTGGTTAAATGATTAGTTACAGGGTCTTGTGATATTCTAGTGGAATACAGGAATCTCCCTCCAGCTGATACAGTACCAATAACCAACACACTATAAATATGGTTATCCAACTGACTGCAAACCCACTTGTCAATATTGTCAGACTTCCCACATTTGGTCATTTGTCTACAAAGATTTTATAAGTAACTTGTTCAAATAATTTACTGAAGTGAAGATGCCTGTAACATTTCTAGCCCAGCAAATTTATCAATGAGAGTCAGTGAGATGGAATGAATAGAAGGCTAGTCTTGAAGCCAGGCAGACCTGGATTAAAGTTCTGCTTGTGACACAGTGTGACCCCCTCCCCCCAGGACAATTTACCTCTCTGTCCAGGTAATTAAGACAATAAGTTATCCCCAAGTTGTTGATCTGCCTCAATGGGAAGTTCCACAATAGGTTACCCTGGATTGATGAATGTACAAGTGTGAGGCTGTACTTCTCCCCATTCTTCCCACCCAGCTACCCCAGCCTCAAACCCCACTGATCAATAAATTATGAGGTTAGGTTGAAACGACTTGTTCTTATTAACCCTGTGTTACCTTCTTTTGTAAATACTCATGGTATTTACAATTTACAATACTCATAGTATTGCTTACTAAACCACTTAGGAATTTAGCTGGGGTTAATGTCAGACTGCTTAAGCTGCAGTTTTTAAAACCTACCTTTTTCTCTTCATTAAAAATCAACACAATACTTCCCCACCATCTATTCTTCATCATTTCTCAAAGATTATAGACAATGGTTCTGACACTGTTTTCGGGTTCCTCTAAGATTCCTTTGGTCCTGAAGATCTGAAATAACTTCAAGTAACTAGGTGTCACTTTTGACTATTTCCTCTTCTATCCTGGGCTATAATTCTCTCTTTATAACATATGTCCTAAGCTTTCCAAATTCAAGGCCATCATCTTTGCTTAAGCTTACTCATTAAACTTTTTCCTTAGCAGCCAAGTTTAATGACATTTTTATAGGCTGGTGTTTAACACAGACAGGCTTTTGTTGATGGGACTCAAAGTTATTAAAATCCTACATAAAAATAAAACATTTAAAATCCACATTTAAACATAAGGATGTTTAAGAAGAACAATGAAGTGATTTATTCATAGAGGCCTAGAATTTTAAATTTATATACAACTGAGCTTTTATAGCCATGTGAATGAGTATGGAGGTTGTGTGTTTATGTTGTATGTGTACTCTGTTAATGAGTTTCAAACTAGAGAGTGAGGCCTACCTTAAATCCTTCACCCTTAACCCACGAAAAGCTATTTTGAAACTCTCTGGCCCTATTCCCATATGAAGCAACTACTGGCTAAAGGGGCTTGGCATCCTGCTTTTTCCTTTTCAATCCTCTTTCTTTCCTACTCCTCCAGAAGATGCTCTCTACCATCCTGTCCAATATTGCCACCTTCTCTCTAGCAATGCCAGGGGAAAAGAAGAGCCAATGAAGGATGCTATTCTCAGCCTCCTCTTAACCCCCTTCTCCTAACCATGTCTTTCTTCTCCTCCTTCCTTCCTCTGTCTTCTCCCTTTGCAGTTTCTCTTCTGTCTATTCTTTGTCCTTCATGGGCACTACTGAGTCTCACTAGGAGCCCTCAGGGCCAAAGAGTTTTCTGAGGTCAAGTCAAGATGTAGGATGGAGTATGAATGGAGAAAAGACTATCAGAGAGTGATCATAGAGAGTGATGACTTTGCTCTTAATGAAATTACCCCAGGAAGGAGTAATGGGACCATCCAGGTCAAGTGTTAGTCTGCTAGCCAAAGTGGGAAACTGGTGTCCCAGTCATGGAATTACAGAACTTAAGAGCTGGAAGGAAGCTCAGTGGCCATCTAGCCTAGCCTCCAAACAAAAGCAATCCTCATCATAACAAACTCAACAAGTGGTCACTCAGCCTCTGCCACAAGTCCTCCAAGGAATGGGAACCTGCCACCTCTCCACTTTGGAACACTCCAACTGGTAGGCGGTTTTTCTCAACAATAAGCCTAAATCAGCCTTTTTGCAATGTATACCTTTGCTCCTGGTTCTGCCCTCTTGGGACCAAAAAGAATGAATCTAATCCTTCTTCCATAGGAAGATACTGGAAGAAAGCTATAGACACTTGAAGAAAGCTATCACATTCCCCTTAAGTCTTCCTTTCTCCAGTCTAGTCCAGTTCCTTTAATTGATTCTCATGTGACAAACTCAAGGCCCTTTATGATCTTGGTTGCCCTCAACTGGACATTTTCTAGTTTATCGATGTCCATAAGCTGCGGTAGCCTGAACTAAATGCAAACTCCAGATGAAGTCTGATAAAAGCAGAGTATGGTGGGATTATCGACTCCCTGTTCCCAGAAGCTACATCCCTCCTAATGAAGCCCAAGTTTGGATTAGCTTTTTTGGCTGCCACATCACATGCTGACACACACTGAAGCTTGCAGTTCACTAAGACCCCTAGATCCTTTTCAGAATAAATGCCACCCTTACATGCCCCCTCATCATATATTGGTGGAACTGATTTTTTGTATCCGAATCCAAGACTACATTTATTCCTATTTTATTTCTTCTATTTAGATTCAAAGAGTTGGGCCTTATCGATAGTGACTCTGCCCTCCAATGTGTTAGTTATCTCTCTCCAATTTGTGTCATCTGCAAGTTGGATAAGATATCTTTTATGCCTTTATCCAAGTCACTTGACACAGGTCCACGAACATTCTCTAGAGTTCTCCATCCCATTAACAACAACTCTTTTGAGTCTGGCCACCCACCCAACCAGTTTGGAATTCTTCTAATTATGTATATTATTATATCAGAAAGGGGAAGAGAGAAAGGACCTATTCTGTCCCACATATACAGATGTTTTAGTGCCATATTCCTAGTACCACCCTGAACCCAGGACCTCACCTTGTTCTTGATTTTCCTCCTGATTTTCTTCAGGGCTTTTTCCTCTGCTTTTGTCAAGGGCAGTTTGGTGGGGATAGGGTACCCCTCAGCAATCAGTGTCCTCTTCTCCTCCTCTGTCAGGATCAGGGGTCCTGACCCCTGAAGTTTCTGTGTAGGCCCAAGGACAAAAAGGAGTCAAAGAAAAATCACTGAGCACATAAAACCATATTTGAAATAGCAAAGGAAGTGATAGATGTCGCCATTAGACTGTAAATTTCTCAAGAGCTAGAAGTGGTTTTCTTTTTCTTTTTCTTATTCTTTTACTGTGTATCCCCAGCATTTAGTACCTACAATGTCTGGAGTGTAGTAAGTGCTTAATAAATACTGGTTAACTTAAATTGAAGGAGATTCTAAAAATAGGATGGATCCTTATTTGTGTTCAGTGGGTACAGTGACTGTACTGGAATGGAACAGGGGTCTGGGACATGGGCTTGGACCTCCTTCCTCACTTAAGGTGTCTTCTAGGATTCAATGCATGGAATAATTACATTATTTTGCACCGATTTATCTTATGTTTACCAGCAGACAGGAGCCAACCCAGCCCAGTTCTAATCTGTGGGTATTAAAGTTGGAGGGTACCAGCACTTCGTACATATCACATACTTAATTGAGCCTTTGTTGAACTGAACTGAAGGAATATTTAGTGACCACTGTGGGAAAAAAAATGATCAGCTCCTTCCTGTGGCTGACACGTGAATGTGCAGCTATTAATGTGATAGGCAGGAGAAAACTCAAGAGGTGGGAAACCAACCACCATAGAGGAAAGAAGCTAAGCCCTTAAGTCTCCCACGGTCTGGGAGATCAACACCAGACTACAATCATTTCTTGCTCTACTAGAGAATCAACCCACAGCCCAGCTTTTAGGGTGGTGATTGTCTCAGGGACTGAACAGAAAAAAAACCCAGGCTTTTTCCTAACCAAGGGACAGAATGAGAAGATCATTTGTTTCCCTGTCCCTGATAAGTAACAGAAGAGCACTGGGGGTTTAGAGTGCGAAGAGCCAGTTCTGAATTCCAGCTCTACCCTTTATTTCCTGATGTGACCCTGGAGAAAACATTTAACTTCACTGGGCTCCAGTTCCTTTACCTATAAAAACAGGAGGTTGGACAAAATGATCTCTAATGGCCCCTTCCAACTATAAAAACGTATGATTCTATGACTCTTTCCCCCAAAAGGACAAAATTAAAATACAAAAAGTAAAGGAGTAGAATCCTATGCAGAGCCAGAATTCCTAGTGATTATCAAGACCTTGGACAAATAAAAGTTTCAGTTGAAACTTCTTTTACAAAAATAGCTTTTTTGGTGGGGGCGGGGAGGAGGGAGGAAAGAAGATGGGGTGGGAAGAGGAGGGTTGAAATGGTAGCTTAAATGGTAGTTTAAAGACCCAAGACAATTTACTTAACTTTCCCTGAACCTCAGTTTCCTTATCTATAAATGGGACAATAACATCCACCCTGCTTTACAGTGTCGTTGCTATGTAAATCAAACAAAATAATGGGTGTGCAAGTGTGTTGGAAACCATAATGCTCTACACAAATACGAGGGAGGACTCTACTGAATTTTTCCAAATGCGTCTTTACAAGATGAATTTAGCAAGTCTTCTGCTGCTTCCAGAGTAGCATTATCCTGAGGAATAGTTTATGGACATGTAATAGGCATTTTGAGTTCAATACTTCCAGAAATATTAGACAAGAAGTGTTCTGTAGAATCTGTTTTCAGCAGAATACAAATATAACACAGGATGCTACAGACTATACAAGAGTGAGAGAATTATACCCTGTATTATTGTGTCTACACAGGGAAATGAAGTTAGAGTTCTGTCCTTGGCCCCCTTCTTTTTTCCTCTCTCCCCACTACTTCTCTCGGTGATCTCATCAGTTCTCATGGATTTACTTACATCTCTGTGCTGATAATCGCATTTATCTTTCCTGCTCTAACCTTTCTATTGACCTCCAATCTCATAACTCCAATTGCCTTTCAGACAAGATGTCCCACAGACATTTTAAACTCAACATGTCCAAAAGTGAATTCATGATCTTTCCCCTGAAACCCTCCCCACCTCCTACTTTACCCATTATTCTTCAAGGCAGCACTATCCTCCCAGTCCTTCAGGGTCACAGCCTAGGAGTTATCCTCAACACCTCACTATCTCTCATCTCCCATATCCAATCTGTTGTCAAGGCCCCGTCAATTTTACCTCTGCAACATCTTTCCAATATACTCCCTTGTCTTGTCTGACACTGTCACTGCTCTGATGCAAGCCTTCACCACCTTCACGCCTCAATTATTTCAATAGGCTGCTGGTGAAACAGCCTGCCTCAACTCTCTCCCCACTCCAATCCATCCTCCATTCAGCCACTAAAGTGACAAGACATTCTATCCCTCAGCATTTCTCTGGTTGTTGTCCATGCCTGGAACGAACTCTCGCTTCTGATCTGACTACTGACTTCCCTGGCTTCCTTTAAGTCCAAACTAAAATCCAACCTTCTACAGGAAGCTTTTCCCAAGCCCTCTTAATTCTAGTGTCTTCTCTCTATTAATTATTTCCTATTTATCCAATATACAGTTTACATTGCATATATTTGTTTGCATGTTGTCTCCTCTAACAAATTGTAAGCTACTTGAGGGCAGACACTCTCTTTTCCCTTTTTTTTTTATCCCCAGAACTTAGCACAATGCCTGGCACATAATTGGCCCTTAATAAATGCTTTTGGATAATTTTGATTTTATACCACTTAACTTAAGAAAATCAAACAGGCTGCACTGTTAAGATTTAGAATGTGGTGATCTTGAAGCAACAATTATTAAAAAAATGCTTGATGAGTATTTTTGTAAATAAAATTGTGATTTATCTCCTCTTGACCATTATAGATATATTGTGTTTTCTGAGATTTAATTTTAGGATTTTGCAGAGTTTCATTTTGTGCAATAAGTTTTCATCATATACACATTATTTTTGTAATCCAGAAGTTTGAAATGTGTATTTGGAATGTGTATTGCATAATTTTATCAATAAAGATGATAGATAATTTTTTTTAAAAAAGTGCTTTTCGATTGAGTGATTGAGTTAGCTTGTAGCATAACCAAATATGTGGTTCAGTAAACTGTTTTTAAAAATAAAAAAATCAGGGGCAGCTAGGTGGTGCAGTGGATAGAGCACTGGCCCTGAAGTCAGGAGGACCTGAGTTCAAATTTGGCCTCAGACCAAACACTTGACACTTACTAGCTGTGTGACCCTGGGTAAGTCACTTAACCCCAACTGCCTAAAAAAAAAAATTTAATTTAATTTAAAAAATTTTTTTAAAAAAAGTAAAAAATCAGTTTTTGGGGCAGCTAGGAGACACAGAGGATAGCTCTCCGGCCTTGGAGTCAGGAGGACCCGAGTTCAAATCCGGCCTCAGACACTTGACACTTACTAGTTGTGTGACCCTGGGCAAGTCACTTAACCCCGATTGCCTCACCAAAAAAGAAAAAAAAAATCAGTTGTTATCAAGCCACAATCCTGGGCCAGGTCTTAGGGAGATTTGTTGTTGTTGTTGAGTCGTTTCAGTTGTGCTAGACCTTCCATGACCCCATTTGGGATTTTCTTGGCCAAGATGCTGGAGAGGTTTGCCATTTCCTTCTCTAGTTCATTTTATAGATGAGGAACTAAGGCAAACAGGGTAAGTGACTTGCTCAGGGCACACAGCTAGAAAGTGTCTGAGGCCACATTTGAACTTGGGTCTTCCTGACTCCAGGCCTGCTGCTCTGTCCACTATTCTACATAGCTTCCCTCTTATGGAGGTTACATAAGTGTAAAATACGGTTTCTGCCTCAAAATGTGCTTATAATATATATTAGGAAGCAGAACTAATATACATGACATACTTAGAATTAAATACATAAACATGCATGTATGCACACATGTATACATGTGAATATTACAAACACATGTGTACACATTTCGTGTGCATGTTATATACATGTGAACATGTGTGGGTTGTGTGTCGACCTGGGCCTGTGATTCATCAGTGCAGGGATCCCACCTCCTTATATAAATTCCCTCTACCATGGCAGATCAGCAGCCCATTTGTAATTTAGAGTCTTCTTTGCCTGGGAGGGTGATCACTAGCAGGATTCAGAGGAAGCCCTTCCTGATTCCAAGGCCAACTCTCTATCCACAGCATGCGGCCTTTCTTAGACAATAATTAAGTGCTAACTTGTGCATGGTGGGAAGTGGTATGATGCAATGAATAAAGAACTGGCCTCAAAGTCAGGAGGGCCTGGGGTACTCATCCCCACCACATATACATGTGGGGGAAGCCACTTGATCTCTCCGTGCCCCAGCTACCTCTCCGAGACTGTCCATTGAAGATCTGTATTGGTAGAAGCTGTTTTTTGTTTGTTTTTTACTAGGAGCTACTTTTAGCAATGAGACCACAAGTCTGATCCAAAAAAGGGAAAAAAAAAAAAGATATTAAGATATTGGCAGTGGGAATGAAAGGCGGCAGGGGAAAGGGAGATATGGAGTATAAAAAGACTGCCTAGAAACTGCTGCAGTAAGAGCAAGAGTGAGGCCATCTTATTCTGGACAAGGGGGCAAGAGAAAGAATGAACGATGGGCAAATCCAAGGGGGCAGTTAAAAAAAAACAAAATGACAGGATTTAGTAACAATTTGGATGTAGGAGACAAAAAAGAGGGGAAACCCAAAATGACTCCAAGATTTCTAGACTGAGTGTCCTCAGAAGGCTTCCAAACCCAGAGAAATAGATCCTGAAGGTTCAGGAAAAACAATTATTTTTAATAAAAACACATTCAATGACCTCCAGGTAAATGCGGTCCTCCCTCCTCCCCTAAGCGGCTGGCAAGGAAGTTCCACAGGGTGTCAAAAGCTCTCTTTTGGAACCATACAGAAGCCCTTATATACACCTTATTCAATGGACCTACAACTGGGATTTGGATCAGTCTGCTGGGGGGCAAAGCTAACTCAAACTGTGAGGCAGTTCCATAGCAACCTGGCTCACAACAAGCCTGTTGGTGGTGTAGGGGTTACCTCAAGCTGCCTCAGTCCTGGCTCACAACAACACTGTGGTTAGGTGGCCAGCAGAAACAGGATTTTTATATAATTTATAGCTCGACTTTGTTCACACAGAATATTGTAGAAAAAAGAGCACTGGACTTGAAAGGAGGACACCAGGGTTCTAATCCCAAGTCTGCCACTCTGCAAAGGAGTAAATCACTTCACTTCTTTGGACCTCAATTTTCTTCCTTACCTGTAAAATTAGAGAGTTGAACTAGGTGATCCCAAAGGTCCTTTTCAGCTCTAAAATTCTATACGAAAATTTTTCCATGAGGTAGATATTCTTAAAATCACTGAAATATCAACTTTTTTTAAAAAAAATCTCATGTTTATTACTTGTACTATATATAGAAACAAATATTAAGTGGGGTCTGATTTGGTGAAGATATTAGGAATAAAAATAAGAAAAACTCACATGCAGAGTTTTCTGGTTGCTACTTACATGAGGTGCTGTCAGGAGAGGGGAATTGGAGAGGGCTGAAGCCGAACGAGATGTCACCTTCCCTGGCCCCTGGGTGGGACTGGATGGCGTCAGGGATGGGCTGGGGCTCTGGCTGCCCTCAGAATCACTGCCATGACTGCTGGGAGGGGTGGGGGGTAGATGCAGGTGATCCACCACTGCTGGAAGAAAAGAAAATGGTGTTTCTCTCGTGGAGGAAGAAGAAATGTGCTAAGTGGAGAAAAAGAACCTTTTAAGTTCCCCTGCAGTCAGGTAGGAAGAAGGCAGATGTGTCTAGAGGGCTCCAGGCTCTCCTTTCTTGGGCTCTAGCCTCTACTTTATCAGTCACTAGATATATTTGACCATGAGCTTTGATGTCCATCTCCTCCTCCTCCTCCATCATTATCATCATCATCATCATCACAGCTAACATTTCTATAGTGTTTCAAGTTTTACCAAACACTTTACATAAGTTATCTCATTTTAACCTTCACAACAACCCTCTGAGAGAAGTATGTTTATTATTATTCCCATTTTATAGATGAGTAAACTGAGGCACAGAGTGGTTAAAATGACTTGCCCAGGTTCACACAGCAAGTAGGTAACTGGGGCAGGATTTGAACTCAGGTCTTCCTGACTCCAAGTCTTATGTTCTATCTATGAACTGCAATAGTGCCATTAAGGCTATTGTGAGGAACCAAAAAAAAAAAAGAAAAAGAAAAAGAAATAATTTTGCCAATGGGAATGAAATATAAAAGGACAAGCTTAATTAGCTTCTTCTGCCAATTCTAAGATTACTTTTCTCAAATTCACTTTTCAGAATTTGACACTGAAGCTGTCGGAGACTGCAAGAGTAACAGCAACATTCCCAAATCCTGTAAACAACTACAAAGCAGCCTGACAGAGGAGGACAAGCACTAGACTGTGGCTTGAGGTTACAGTCTCAACTTGGAAACTTCCTCTGCCAAAACAGTTGTGAAAGCTAAATTAATAGACATAGAGCTAGAAGGGTTAAAAGTTATTTAATCCAACCCTTATCCCATGGATCTCATAAAGCCCCTCTAAAATATACCCAAAACATAGTTACGTAGCCCATGTCTGAAGGCTTCCTGTAATGCAAACTAACTACTCCTCAAGTCAAAAAACTCCATTTTTATCAGCTCTAATTGCCAGTATATATCAGAGGTAGGGCTTGAACTCAAGTTTTCCTGATTCTAAGGCTACTTTTCCATCCACTATACTATGCTGCCTCTCTATCATCATCATCATCATCATCATCATCATCATCGTGTGACCTTGCATGGATTACTTAACCTCTCTGGGCTCTAGTTCCCTTATCTACAAAATAAAGGTGGGGTAGAATCAGTGGTTTCTGAGGTCCCTTCTAGCTCAAATTATTTATGAAACCCAAAAGTGGTAAAAGAGAGCCATTAGCCTGAATTACAGACCCTAAAAATTTGGGATTCTTGGAAATCACATAAATGACTTTTGATTGCTACACGTTAGGATAAAATTAAAGGAAAACCTCAAGGATTATGGTAATCTTAGATAGTAAGGAAAATATATATTTGATATTTTTGAAAGATTCAACAATTGAAAGTCTAAAGCCAAAATTTAAAACATTTAAGCCAAGAATTGGGAGAAAGCCAGACTTCCTAAAGGGAAAGGGTTTGACATACCCAGATAAGAACCAGACCTTTCAGTGAACATGGTAATATACCCATGCCTAGGGTGTATTACCATGAATATCAAATTCTCCATACAAAGAGTATTTTCATTCAATAAACACTTATTGAGTGTTTATGAACATGATTCTATGCTCTGTGCAAGGAAAACACATATATTCATTCATTCATCTATCAATCCATTCAAGAGGAATTTATTGAGGATCTAAATATGTTCTCTCTATCTTGTCAAACACCAGCTGCTGAGACACATGACCACTTCTAAGGATGCTGTTGAGTGATGGGAGAGCAGTTACATAGATAGGAAGCATCTTTTCCTATCACACAATCATTTTTAGAAGTGTGAACTGTTATGAGTCTTTGACCTTGTATGGTCTGGGCACCTTCACTGAGGTACACCCAAGGCAACTTTTGGTTTTCCTCTTTCTACCTTTCATTGTTGTTTTTTTTTCTTCTGCCTCTTCTTTTCCCCAGTCATCTTACTTCCTACATTATCCCTTCTTCTTTATCTATCACTCCACCCCCCTATTTTTCCCTCTCTCTTTTTATCTCCTCTGCTTGTCTTTCCAGTGACTCGCATGGGTATCCATAAAACTAAAAAGGTCTTCCATGACTTCTATGCCTTTTTATTCCAGTCATCCTACATTCCTGCCTACGGTCCCTTTCAAGCAGGAAAACAGAGTAGGCGATCAGAACTCGGAGGCTGCTGAGAGATCTACTCATTAATCAGTACTCTCACAATATCATAAATATGCCTAGTATTGTGTGATGCAAAACAGAATCAACTGATCTCACCCAGTTCTGTGGAATTTGTCCTTAAATGCTGTATTGGGCTAATCAGCCAAGAGACAGCTCCTTTACACACTTGGTGCTAGCAAAATCATTCCTGTGTGACTCTCCTTTCCACACAGAGACACTCCACTCACTTCAAAGGGTTATTCCCTTAGAAAGGGAAAGAGGGAAACAGTAGGAAAAGTAGGCCAAAGGTGAGTCCACTGTTTCCAATTGAGTGAAAGCCATCCATTGGCCCCCAGGTGGTTCAGCATCAGGTTTCTAAACCTCATTTGAAAAGGAAAGCAGCTCTTGGGTTACTAAAGGGGCTAGAGCAGGGGTGGGGAAATCAGTCAAAATGACACAGGACCTAGAGGGCCACAAGGGGCCTCAAGGCTGTAGGTTTCCCACCCTAGGGCTAGGGTCACTGGAAAGTAGCTCCAAGGTATGAAGGGTTGGTCAGTTACTTTATCTTCCACTGGGTCAGGGTAATCAGGAAATACATGCATTTTATTTATCCTGGAAATGCTCCTTTCCAAAGTACCTGAATTATCAGTCACCACAGCATATGTACCTATGGTTGACATTTCATAAAACATGTCATAACAAATTCAAGGAATAACATTTGTTGGAAAGTCCACTAGCTTCTTAAGAGTCAAACAACTTGCCTAAAAGATCACCTTTCACATTCTACCTTATATTATTTTTATAGTTACTATGCACGGATCCAAAATTTTTGTTGTTGTCCAGTCATTTCAGTTACGTCCAACTCTTTATGACCCCATCTGGGATTTTTCTGGCAAAGATACTGGAGTGGTTTGCCATTTCCTTTCCTAGCTCATGTTACAGATGAGGAAAGTGTGGCAAACAGGGTTAAGTGACTTGCCCTGGTTCACACATCTTGTAAGTGTCTGAGGCCAGATTTTAACTCAAGCCAGTGCTCTGTCCACTGTGCCACTTAACTGCCCCAAAAGTTTAACTTTCTTTATATCAACAATGGCTGCTCAGCAGCCCATGACATGGTGGATGGAGCACTAGCTTTGGAGGAAGGAAGCCCTAGGCTCATGCTCTGCCTCTGATACATACTAACCATGTGACTCTGGGTAAGTCACATCTCCCTGGCAGCCTTCTAAGACTATTGAAAAGAGAAGGTATCCATTTATATGGAGAGAGGAAGCTTTCTCAACAAGTATTCCCTACACCAGTGAAATCATAGGCCTAGTCAAAAAAAAAAAAGTTAACAACTTACATTTATATGGTACTTTAAAGTTTACACCACTCTCTACATACATTATCTCATTTAATACAACGCTGCTATGAAGGATGAAATGCAAATATTATAACCCTCATTTTACGTGTGAGGAAATAGGCTCAAAGTTAAGTGACTTGCCCAAGGTCATAGAAGGAATAATATAATTCAATTCAACTCAATGAACATTTATTAAGTACATACTATGTGCCAGGCACTGTGCTAAGCTCCGGGGATACAAATAAGAAAAAGAAAGACAAAACCTGCCCTCAGGGAGCTTACATTTGGATGGGTAAAGACGAGGCACAAAAGGAAGCTGGAAGGGTTGAGCTTGAGACTCAGTCTATTGCTTTCTACTAAACTATACCATTTAATGATTTGTTTAGCAAACTCTTTCTCCATAGAAACACAAAGGTAAACACCAACCCAACTCTAGTTAGACCAAATCTTTCAGTCACCTCCTCCTGCCCCAAGTAATGAATGCTATGTCTCAAGTCTTCAGCCTTCTCTTCTCTCTGTGCTCTCTCTTCTTTAGTAACCTCATCCACGTCCACGACTTCAGTTTTCACATCTATGTAGTCAATTCCAAAATCTACGATGTCTAGCTCTTCTCTGACCTCTAAGGCTCCATTTCCAACTGGCTTGTTTACATTTCTATTTGGATGTTCCACCAACAACTCAACCTGAATGCTTTTAATAGGCATCAACGTCTCACCCAACTGCGTCTCCTCCCAACTTGGCAAACAATAAGCATTTATTAAATGCCTACTATGGGTCAAGAACTGTGCCAAGTTCTGGGGACTAAAAAACATTAAATGAAACAGTCCTCATCCTGAAGGAGGTTGTATTCTATCAGGAGATACAGTTACACACAAAATAAACACAAGGTTAGTTTGAAGGGAAAGGTACTAGCAGCTTGGGGGATGGGATAAGTGGGTGGGGACCAGCAAACACTTCATGTAGCAGGTGGCACTAAGTAAGGTTTTGAATGAAAGTTGAGATTCTAAGAGGCGGATGTGAGGAAAAAGCTTATTCCAGGCACAGAGAACAATCAGTGCCGTGCGTCTCTGCTGAGATAAGATAAGGTGTTGTGTACGAGGGACAGAAAGAAGGCTAATTCGTCTGGACCATAAGGTGAGGGGAGAGCAATGCATAATAAGGCTAGAAAGTTATGCTGAGTCAGGTTATCAGGGAGCCGATGGAGTTTACTGAGTCAGGCACCGACATGGTCAGATTTATCTATGCTCTAGTCAATTCACTTCTGCAGCAGTGTGGCGATGGTTGGAGGGAGAAAATACTTTATTTTGATCTCTCCTCCCAGTCACTCCAGCCTGAAACCTGGGAATCACCCTTGTCTCTTCCCTCTGCTCAAACAATGTATATCTAATCAGTTCCCAATCTTGTTGATTTTGCCTCCACAATATCATTTGAATCCATCCTCTTGTCTCTACCCAAACTTCCACAGCTCTTCTCCAAGCCCTCACTAGCTCTTGCCAAGACCAGTGTTAATAATCTCTTAATTGGTCATCATGGACAGCTAGGTGGTACCAGGTGTGGAGTCAGGAAGACTCATCTTCATGAGTTTAAATCCGGCCTCAGACTAGCTGTGTGACCCTGGTCAAGTCAGTAACCGCATTTGTCTCAGTTTCCTCATCTGTAAAATAAGCTGAGAAAGAAACCATTCTAGTCTCTTTTCCAAGAAAACACCAAATAGGGTCATAAGGAAGTGGACACAACTGAAAAATGACTGAAATTGGTCTTCCTGCCTCTGGGTCTGTTTCCTCTCTAATCCTTCACAGAGCTGACCAAAACAATCTTCCTAATGTATAATCTGACCACAACATTCCTATGCTCAAAAACCTCTGGGGGTTCCCTACTGCCCGTAGGATAAATGGAAAGATCTGACTCCAATCTAACTTTCCAGTCATACCTCACTCTACTCTCCTTCCCAGGTTCCGTCTGTCCATTCCAAACTAAACTTTTGCTTTCTCTCACCTTCACGCTTTACAGATGATGAACTATTCTCACAGCCCTGGGGATCATAAAAGGGTAAAGAGAAGGTATTAGAGGCCACTTATCCCTGAAAAAAAAATTAAAGAGATTAAACTGAACATATTACTGGAATGATAATGCCAGTCTATGGTGAAATGGGATTTAATTTTCAAAACTGGGATTTAAAGGGAGCCCTTCAGAAAAACATCTATTGCACAAGATCAGATCTAGCTGAGGTGAAACACGAGGCCTCTTATGCACCGTCCCTCCCCTTGTCGCATGCCCTTATTCCCCTAACACCAGCATCCAACCCCAAATGAAGCACCGAGAGCCAACAGACCTTCCTTCGAAGAGAAGTTTAAGAACTGATCCACTTCATGAGGCTCCAGTTTAATCTTGGGCAGGATTTTCAGGCTTGGGGACTTGACCTAAAGAAAGAATTTCACACAAGTTTTTAGGTTGTTCGTTTTTAAATAAAAGAGCAACAACATGGTGCATAGCAATAGAAGAGCAGTAGATCCCACTTTTTATCTTTATCTGGGGACACCCCACGCCCAACCTCTACTAAAAGCTGGCTAATGGGGTTAGTAAGAGCTACTTCCTTCAGAATCTTATCAAGCAGGTGGAATGAATTAAATGAATTAAAGCTAAAGATCACATACCAATGGTCGGACCCTTCCAGGGCTAGAATACTGCAGTAGTATTCTATGACAGAGGAAGTCTATTTGTGTTTTTAGGGGCTCTCTATTATATAAGATGACACAGCTGACTGTCCAGCAGTTTGTCCCCTCCCCTACAACAACGGGAGAGGAGTATGCACTGAGCCATCCACAATCTTCCCAACATAAGAAATGACATGCACCTGTGAAACAGCAGGTTAGGGAAATGGTCTGTGGTCATGGAAGAACCAAGCTGACCAGCCCAAACAAGGGATCAAGTTTATGTCCTTGGCCTTATAAGCACCATGATCAAACCAACTGAATTAATTGCACTTTAGCAATGACGGCAAGGAAATAGCTTACAAATATGTCAGAGATTCAGTTCTTTAAAAGGATCCTGGGGCAGCTAGGTGGTGCAATGGGTAGAGCAGCAGCCCCAGAGTCAGGAGGACCTGAGTTCAAATCTGGTCTGAGACACATAACACTCACTAGCTGTGTGACTCTGGGCAAGTCACTTAACCCCAATTGCCTCACCAAAAAAACCCAAAACAAAACAAAAAACAAAACATAAGAAAACATAAGCTCCTCCATTAAACTATAAGCTCTCAGAGTTTATATTCATATACAGTACTTGTGGCCACAGGACCTAAAATAAGTTGGCACTTAATAAATATTTTTTGATTAATAGAAGTGAAGTCCAACCTTCTCATTTTACAAATGAGAAACAGAGGCCCAGAGAGGTTAAGTAACTTGACCAAGGTCACTAGTAAGCGACTCAGGCAGAATCTCAACCCACATCTTGCAAATTCCAAGTCCAAAACCCTCTCCACCATTTTGCTGCCTAAGACGAAGGGATTCAAGTACCTGTGTAGAAAAAGACCATGGGAAGGCAAATTCAGACTTTTTTTTCCCTCATGATGTTTTCTACTCTAACCAGATAGAAACAGAAAGAAGTTTAGCCCTGTTTTGTCTGAGGTAAAGCTTCACAATTCTACTCCTCCTGGGTTATCAGCTTCCAGCACAGTGATTTTCCTATGTAAGACAGGTTCACCTGCTAGTCAAAAATTTCTGCAATACTTTTTATGCAATTTCCTGTATGCAATATCTTGTGCAATTCTCAGAGATTTTGTAAAAAGGGGAAAAAAGGTATATGTTGGTAGTTAATATTTTCTTGGTTGCCTTGGAAGAAGTAAATGTTTATTGATGACCAAAATCAAAACTCTTTTTCTCCCTCTTTCAGTATCTTAAGAATCAATCCCTCAGAAAATTGGGACACTAATGCACTGCTGAAGTTTTGACTGACCCAACCAGTCTGGAGAGTAATTTGGAACTGCCATACCCAACCCAAAAGGCTATAAAACTGTGCATACCCTTTGATCCAGCAATAGCACTATTAGATCTGTATCCCAAAGAAATTTCTAAAAAATGAGAGAAAAGATCTATTTGCATAAAGATATTTTAGCAGCTCTTTTTGTGGTGGCAAAGAATTGAAAATTGAGGGGATGCCCATCAATTGGGAATGGCTGAACAAGCTGTGGTATATGATTGTAATGGAATACTATTGTGCTATAAGAAATGATAAGCAGGATACTTTCAGAAAAACCTGTAAAGACTTACATGATATAAAGTGAAGAGAACCAAGAAAACATCATACATAGGAACAGCAATGTTGCACAATAATCAACTGTGTATGACTTAGTTATTCTCAGCAATTCAATGATCCATGACAATTACAAAGGACTCATGATGAAAAATACTATCCTCCTCCACAGAAAGAACTGATGGAGTCTGAATGCAAATGAAGACTGTTTTTATCTTACTCTATCTTTTTAATGTGTTTTTTTGTCTGCGTTTTCTTTCACAGCATGACTAATATGGAAATATGTCTTGCAAGATTGCACATGTATAACCTATATCAAAATGATTACTGTCTCAGGGTAGGGAGAGGGTAAAGAGGAAGGAAGAGAATCTGGAACTCAAAATTTAAAAGAATGTTAAAAATTGTTTTTATATTCAATTCGAAAAAATATTATTTTATTTATTTTGAAAAAAATCATCTTTATTGCTGATGTTTTTTAAATTTAATTTCCCCCATCGTTTACTGGTAAAAGCTTTTTGATTCCCTGACGAGATTTTCTCTAAGCTTCCACTACAGCCATTCTTCTTTGAAGTAGAAAGTTGCCTTCTTGTATTTGCTACTGAACCTTAGACCCCGGAGCCTTCTCTGGCTTCTAATCCTATAAAAATTACACTTTTTTTTAGCCCAAGGGAGCACTGGACTTAAAGTTATCTGAAGAATTCGTATGAAGCTTGACTTCAATTTACACATTAACTATGTTCTTGAAAAGTCATATGTGTAAAGCAAAACATAAAATATTATTTAAAAAAAAACATCAGTATCTCAATGTTCTCAAAATGGTGTGACCTCCATCACAGGTCTCATCCATGTATATTTATTTGGTCTTGTCTAACTCTCTTGGTTTTTTTTATTGCCATTTCTATCAGCTTTCTCATGTAGCACATCAAGGACTATGATGTTAAGATTCCAAATACAGTGATTCAGCTATCACTGATGAAGAAAATAGTTATAGAAATCTTTACAAATCTCTGCCATTTTCTGTTTGTTTTCCTCCTTTCCGTTTCATCTTTTGATGTTCTTTGGATAATTTGAGTATCTGACTCTTTTGCCAAGCTTTCCATAAATTCATTTCTCCATTGTTTTTTTGCTGTTTTAGAAAGTAATACTGCTCATAATCTTATACCACCTTCCTCTGTAAGATTTTACAGAGTTTTTATATTCTGAAACTCATGCTGCCTTTGCCTAATCTCTCTCCCTGCTTAGAAAAGGAATCAAGAGTTTATTGGCTGAGTAAGTTTATAAGTTATTTTGGCCTCCTAAAGGTGGTGACTGATATAAATCTGTTAAACTTCCTCAGGAAATGGGGATAGTCTCCACTGATGTCCATTCCTTTATTCATTTCCAACTTTTGAGCATTAACATCATCATGTTGTAGCTATTTTAATTGCACTCTACAAAGTCTTCTCACAGAAGCAACATAGGGCAGTGGATAGAGAACTGTCCTCAGAGCCTGAAGGACCTGGGTTCAAGTCCTGCCTCTGCCACATACTGGATGTGTGACTTCAGGGAAGTTCATGAAATGTTTAATGCCCCCAAGCAATTCTCTAAGATTTTAAATGGCAGAAAGGTCCTGATCTTCATTGGCAGAGGAAGTATATATTCTTCTCATTTTTATTCTTTCATCTAATTTGGTATTGCTTTTGATTTCTGTGATAAGAAAGTAATTCGTTGTTCAGTTGTTTCAATTGTGTCTTACTCTTTATGACCCCATTTGGGGCTTTTCTTGGCAAAGATACTGAAATGGTTTGCTATTTCCTTCTGCAGCCCATTTTACAGATGAGGAACTGAAGCAAACAGGGTTAAGTGACTTGTCCAGGGTCACACAGCTAGTAAGTGTCCGAGGCCAGATTTGAACTCATGAAGATGAGTCTTCCTGATTCCAAGCTGTCTATCTATGGTGTCACCTAGATAGCTAATTTAGAAATTATTTCCTCATTGGTACTGAGGTAATTCTCTTTTTTTGTGTGTGATGCTATTTGGTGCTCACTATGTCTACCATCTTCTAACTCTTTTCTTGAAGAAAACATTCATAACAGATGAGGTTTCTGTGTTTTCTATAAGCTTTTGGCTTCTTTCACTTCTTAATCTTAAACTGTATTGTTTTCTAACATTATTTTTGCTGTTTTCTCTAGGTCCACTAAGTACTGAAGTCACCTAGTATTAAAACATATACTGACTTAATTCTGAGGGTCTTACTGCGTTCTGCATTGGACTTTACTTCCTCATCCTCTGCTACGGATGTTGAACACTGTTGCCTAAGCTGCAATTATCGTCATCATTTTTTGCAAATGTTCATCAAGAGCACTGATTGCGCACAACCAAGTATCCCATGAAATTATGTTTCTTGTTGCCTTTGGAAACCAAATAAAAGCAACTCCACCAACTCTTTTAACTGCCTTTCCAAAGAGAACTTGTGATTCATCTGCCCATTTATCTGCAAGTCTCTTTTTGATTACATTTATAGCAAAAATGTCAATATTTAATTTGATTCCATTTTTCCGGAACCATGTTGACTCATTGGCTACGGGACAATGAGCTTACATTTAGAATACCAACAGCTAAGCTAATGTTTATAGACAGTCTGAAAGCTGTGTAATTCTATGTACCTTCCTCCTCCTTTTCTGGCATCATGCTACCATTGTACAGAAGTAGAAGGAGTCTATATAAGACTGAGTGCCATTCTTTGTTGCAGGGGTTGTCATAACCAAAGAATTAGACAACTAGTGCCCGGCCTACTGGTGACAAGCCTGCCTAGACAGGGTTAGAGTCCTAGGAATGCAGGCATAGTCTTGGGTCAGTACTATACTTCTGAGCTTTTCCAGTAAAGCAGAACCTATAGAGTACGGTTTATGCCATAACTTTCAAGAATCCAGAATCATCTCTATCCCACAATGAAGTATTGGAGTGACATTTTTGTGATATGGGACAGGTGTGATTCTGCAGGAAATACACACATACAAACACACACACACACACACACACACACCCCTAATGCCACACTAATTTAACAGTGTCCAGAACAAGGAAAGTGACTGTCATAGATTATTTCGTACCCTGCAAAACACTACTGTAGCTGCTTTGGTAAGACTACATCTAAAGCATTCTTTTCAGTTCTAGGAAACATTATAAAAGGGATGTGAACACAATAGAGTACAGTGGACAAGATGGTGAAGGCCATTAAAATAATTTCTTTCAGATTGGTTGAAGGACTTGGGGACATTCAGCCTGAAGATTTGAGAAAGCATTTCTTCAAAATTCTAAAGAATCATTTTTTGAAAGAATTTCATCTATATAGCTCCACAGAATAGAAGTAGGACCATTTAGTTTAACCCACAGGAAGGCAGATTTTTAGCTCAGCATAAGGAGGAACTTCCTAATAACCAGAGCTTTCCCAAAATGGAATGGATTGACCTAGTTCATCATGAGCTATCCATCCCTGAAACTGTTTAAGTAGAGACTAGTAGACCAATGTTGCTTCTGTGAAAAGACTTTATAGAGCGCAATTAAAATAGCTACAACATGATGGTGATGCTCAAAAGTTGGAAATGGATAAAGGAATGGACATTGATGGGGACTAGCTATGTATATAAGTGTATATGTGTGTTTGTGTATATGTATACATATATACATATATAGACAAATACAATATATTATATATTAATATAAACATATAATATAATATCTATATGGAGAGACAGAGACAGAGAGACAGAAAGAGGATTCTTTTTATTAGTTAGGAAGCTGGATGGATTCAGTGATCTCAATTGCAATCTTATTCAATTCTAATATTCTATTTATATGGCACTGTGATCCACCTATTAAGTATGGTAAATATCTAGATAGAAGGAACACAAGAGGAGCTAAGTTGTAGAAGCTATGGAAATTGAAACTGGAAATAAAATAAAACAATTTAAAAAAAACCTATGGGTAAGGAATCAGGTAGCAGAAAATCAATTATGCTTTTGTGAGGTCAATAGAATGGCTGCAGGTAATAGAGACATCAAGTCCACAAAGTCCTCCAAAGTACACATATGACAAAAGTAGAATGCTATTCAAAACATGTCAATTCCCAACAATCATAGAAATACATTGCATTTGTATTGTGGAGCTGCCCCTCACTATAACCCCTCTCTCATCAAAAGCCTTCCATTCCAATCGACTGAGACAACACTATTCTCCATGGAAACAGATCTCTGGTTTTAGAATGGAAACAAATGGGGGTTATAGGATTTGCCATATCATCACTTTTTATGGGGCCTCCAGGATATCAGGAAAGGGATACCTATATTACAAATAGCAAATCAACACATTCTAGGTCTTGAATATTCTAGCTTCAGAACTGGGTGGAGGGGAGAATCAAAGATTTTGTTGAAGAAAGCGAATTTGCATTTTTTTTTCATTTCAGCTTATGAAATGGAATAAAACTGAGTGTACCTCATCATCATTCTGCAGTTGGGGATCCTCGCTGCCCAGAGGGGCAGGAGCTGTAGTGATGGTCAGAGTGACAGATGGGACAAGTCCAGGAGATTCGCACAGGATGGGTTCTGTCTTGATGGTTGCTGAAGCCAGGCACCATTCCTCACCGGCCAGATTAGCTGGTAGATAAAGACAATGCACACGAGTTAGAGTCAATGAGGGCGCCAGATGAAATGAGCAAGCATAATCACCAGCTTTCCACTCCATAGAGAAATACTGCCAAGCAAAAGAAAAAAGAAAAAGAGTCAGGATGCGCACTGTCACTTTTCAAACCTGGATCTCTCTGCCACTCCCACCATTTGATTTCCCAGTTTCTCATGCCTCTTCCTTCTTCCCATTTTGTCTCATTTCCTTTCTCCTCCCAGTTTTCCTGCCCTTAGGTGATAAGTGTCATGAGGATCTTAAGTAAGTACTGCCCCTTATTCTCACAGAAAAATGCTGGGATAAGCAACAGGATCCCATGATTCCAGCTATGGCTCTGTCCTGGATTTCTGTGACTGAGTCACGCATCTCTAATGTTTCCCTCAGTTTCCCCCAAAGTCTAAATCTTGAAACAAAACAAGGGAGAACTCTAGGAAAGTATATAGGAAGCACCACTCTTTTATTTTTAATGTACTTTGAAAGCACCTCTTGGTTCTTACCAGCTTAATTCAAAACAAGCCAGGAAGAGAAGGGGAAAGACAGGGTTAACAATTACACCATGAAGGGCTGTAAATGAGCTGTCAAACAGAGAAAACAGCTGTCGGACCAGGGATCCCAAAGGATCAGCAAATATTAGACTGGCTAGAATGGGTCTAAAGTGAGATTAAAAAATCAAATTTCAATTTAAGAACAAAAGGAAAAACTTAAAAGTGCCAAATAAATTAAATGGGGAAAGGGGTTGGGAGCGGGGATGGAGGGTAGGCAAAGTAAGGTGATGAAGAGGAGATAAGAATGGGAATTATTCATAATATCACTACAGAGTTTCATTGAAGGACTCTGATAAATGTCATACTATCATTGAATTATTTATTTTTCAGTTAGCTAGCCTTTACTTTTCATATATGATGAATTCCTTGGAAGTAGGGAAGAGTATGGACAACAGAGAATCTAAAAGGGGAAGGTTCAAGCAGCCACTGGTAATTAGTCATCAATGAGAAATAAAGATAAAGCATCTCTTAAATAAGAGATGTTAGGGCAAAGATTTCATTCAATTTTTCAAACTCAATTTCAGTGCAACTTTTTCACAACATACATCATAAATGCTACCTTTAGGCTTTCTAAATCTATTAAGGAAAAGGTACATCTTTATAGTGAGACCAGATGATTTTTTCCCCCCTCAAGTTAAGTTTGGAACAGCTCTTACTTCAATTAGCAATCCCCCTCCCCCACTTTATTTTCTAAGGTAACAAAAACGTAGGCCAGAGTTCTGTTGGTTGGAAAGGTCTGGACTTTTTAAGCCAAGTTTACAGAGCTGTTGCACCTCCTGGTGATTCATGGGTATTTCCACTGACTTGCACAAGATATACCTCACAACCTGGAAGAAGGAGAAGGGGCAAGCAACAAAGGGCTTTTTGATGGCGACTGGAGGAGAGAGACCACACTGTAGTCCAATGGAGTTCTGAGTCAAGCACAGACTTAAGTGTCTAGTTTAGGGAGGCACCAGGAGGCAAAGCTGAGCCTTATAACTTCTATGGGCTGCCCAAACCCAGATCTTCTCAGTTCTCATCAGATTTGCTGCAGCTTTTGATACTACTGATCACCCTTCCCCCTTCTTGATTTTAGCGACTCTGCTGTCTCTTGTTTTTCCTCCTGCCTCTGCTTTTTCTCTAGCTCTTTCGATGTTTTTTTTTTGGTTAATTTTTATTTATTTAATTTTTAATTTGTGGACTAAAATAAGCATTTCCATTATATAGTACAATAAAAAAAGATAATTGCACATGAAGCTGCAAATCTATTATGTACAACTTGCTATTCCTTTCAAATATATGTTATCATGTAAATTTCTTTTTGTTTCTTCCCTTCCCCCTCCCTTGCCCTAGAGTTGGTTACAATTAGACACAAATATGTATGGATGTATATGTATGTATATATGTATGTATGTATATGTAATATCATTCTATACATCTATTTCTTTTAAAAATTTCCAACAATTTTATTTCCCAGTCAGCTAGGTGTGATCATTTATGTTTTATAACCACAGTGACCTTTCATGAAAAATAAAAGGGAAAGAGAAAATGAAAAATTGTTCATAACAGAACTTGGCAGGTTATGCCCATTTTACAAATAATATACTCATCCCCATTCCTTCTCATAGCTAGTGCCATAGGTGTTGACCCTTGAGTGTGATTCTAATCCCAAGTTATACTTTTGTCATCTGAACTGTTTTTTTGCTTGTTTGTTTCAGAATTAAGAAAGTTATTCACACAATTCAGGAAAACACCATCAAGATCCAGAAATAATCATTCCAACTACCTGTGGATATGTATTCATACCATACCTTTGCTAAGCCTGTGTCTATGTTGAGATAACATCTTTTTTTTTAAACAAGCATTCTCATTAGCATCATTTATGAACCATCTGAGAGAGAAAAGCAATTCATAATGAGGTCCTGAAATGACTGATAGACTCCCAAAAAACTGGTTAAAGGACAGTTTTGACAGATGTGGTGTAAGCATAGAGAAGTGACAAGTATATAAATAATAGCAACTATGCTAAAGAATTAAAGCAAGATTAGCATAGTGGGGGCAGTTAGGTGTGGATAGAGTACCTGCCCTGAAGTCAAGAGGATCTGAGATCAAATCTGGCCTCAGACCAAACACTTGACATGTACTAGCTGTGTGACCTTGGGCAAGTCACTTAACCCCGATTGCCTCACAAATAAACAAATAAACAAACAAAAAAGATTAGCATAGTGGCTAATGATCTCTCCTTGAAACCAGAAGACCTGGGTTCACATACTTCTATTTCTAAGTTCTTTGGATGCAGATAGTGTCTTCTTTAATATGCCCTTTGTAGTTACTTTGGGTATTTACAATAGTCAAAATAACTTATTCACTCAAAGTAGTTCTTAAAACAATATTGCTGTTAGTGTATATGACGTTCTCTTGGTTCTGCTCATTTCGCTCTTCATTATTTTGTGCAAGTCTTCCCATGTTTTTTCTAAGATCATTGAGTTTATCATTTCTTACAGCATAGTAGTATTCCATCACAATCATATACCACAACTTGTTCAGCCATTCCTCAAGTGAAGGGTATCCCCACAATTTCCAGTTCTTTGCCACCACAAACAGAACTGCTATAAATATTTTAGATTTCTAAGTTTAAGGGGCAGCTAGGTGGTGCAGTAGATCTAAGTTCAAATCCAGCCTCAGACATATAACACTTACTAGCTGTGTGACCCTGGGCAAGTCACTTAACCCCATTGCCTAACCCCTTCCCCCAAGAAAAAAAAAGGTTTATAAATTTATAAATCTCCAGATTTTTCAGGTTTTTTTTTTCTTCCTTCCCCTATTGCCTAAGGCTGGGTATAGGTAAGACTATCATCCTGTTCCCCTTTGAGGATCTCATCTTCTTAAATGGCTATAGTTATCACCTTGAATCTATATTCAGTCTCTCCCTAAAATCCCATCACTTCCAACTGAACATCTTTACCTAAATGCTCTGTTGACAACTTAAACTATGTCCAGATCAGAGGTTGTGATTTTTCCTACAAAACCTGCCCTTCTTCTTAGCATTTCCATTTCTGTTGATGATACCACCATCTTCCCAGCTGCCCAGCATCATAATCATCTTCGTTTCCTCTCCTTCATCCCCCACTTCCAATGAATTGCCAAAACCTTTCAATTCCACCTCCCCAATTACCAGCTCTTGGCATAGTGCCTGTTTCAAAATTAGAAAAACTTGGGTTCAAATTCCACCCTCTGACACATACTGGCCATGTGACCCTGGACAAGTCACAACCTCTCTGTCATTTAGGCAACTCTCTAAAACTGTAAGTTGTAGTTAAGGTGCCAACCTGCTTTGACAGAAGGAGTTTCCTCACATGAGAGGCCCCTAATGGGGAAATCCCAAATCTAGTACTTTTCTCTCTCCTGTCACAAACTTTCTCTGGGAATCTCTTGTGCTCCAATCCCTCGACGCCTGCAACGGACTCCTCAGACATCTCCAAATGTTAGAATCCTCTTCCTCAAAGGTTATGTCTTCCATGAAACCTCCCCTGATACCCTCAGCCAGAATTGACTCTTCCCTTCTCTGGTGCCACTGGTTTATCTTTGTAATCTAAGCTTTCCGAGTTCCTTGCATCTAATAACTACTTAGGCAATGCTGATTCAATTCTCTGTTGGCAAATGAAGCCACATGCTACAAAGACATAGGGGCAAGGCTGGGATAGGGGATAGGAAGGATAGGAAAAGCAGCAACTCTCAACTCTCACTTACATAAAACTCCATCATTTATGCAGTATTTTTCTTACAAAAACCTGCAGAGTAATAATTCTTGTACTCCCTGTACTGCACATGGGGAAATAGGCTCAATTTAACTAACTCACCCATGGTCACACAACTAGGGGAAAGCGGTGGAGCCAGAACTCAAACCCAAGCCTTCTGACCTCTAGCCCAGTGCTTATTTCCACTGCTTTTCTAGCTAAACATGACAACCATTTCTCTGTCCACGGGGACACTGCACTGTCATAGGTAGTAATGCTGCCCTCATTTCAGGATTTTCTTTTCTGGAACAATATGCTTACCCATCATGCAGCAAGGAAGATAAATAAAACATAACCTTCCTCCATATTTAAAACACAATGTAAGGCAGCAGCCCTGAACACAATTCCTTTGTGATTGTGAGGTGAAGATAGGCCCTACTGTTGCTGGTTAAAGTTTACAATGATGAAACCCAATCTATATGGTTGGCAAGAAGAGATGCAATTTGAATAAATGGAAAATTGAAGATGAAAATTAATACAAAGCCTGTAATTAGATCCTTTAACCTATTCTAACCATGATAAAACTATGCTATTCTCCTCCATGATGAAGGCACGGGGTTGGAGGGAGGGAGGGAGGAAAGGAGAGAGGAGGGAATAACCATGTAGACAGCATCTACTATGTGCCAGGCACCATGCAAAGCTTTTTGCAAAAAT